GTACTTCTTTCTCTACCTGCTCTATCCCATGCATAATCTTGTAAACCTCGATCATGTCACCCCTCAGTCGTCGTTTCTCCAATGTAGCTAACAATTTGCATTTTACTTTGGTTTTCTAAATCACTGTGAATATCTGTACACACCAACAATCCAACACTGTTACACCTTTTAAGTAAAACCTTCATTTATGTCTTTGATGTGGAATACACTTTAAGATAGTTGCTGAAAATTTAAAAAGCCATTATATGACCGCTCTGCCTTATTTTAACAAATCACTCATCCCTTATTCTGTGTGCCAGAGTGGGATATCTTATTTTCTGGAACTGAATAGCTGCTATTAACTTCCTTACGCTCTCCAGTAGAAAAACAATCTAACATTATGTGCTCAGCATTTTCTGTTCAGAATGCTGTGACTATCACTGTGTCAAGGTTATAACTGTGCAGCTTGAATAATGCCCAGGAAAAACTCCTTAGAGTTCACATGGTAAAAACAATCTGTCACTAAAAAATGTACTGAGAATGTAGCTGTGAATGTGTTGAAGTATTGGTCCTAATGAAAGCTAATGTTCCTGAGCAGCTTACTGGTTGGATAATCATTAAAGTTATAACATAGAATTTAGAATTTTGAAGTAGATTCCAGTTCTGAACCTGCTTCGTGTCCTTCACTGTCCCAAGCTGGAAAACAGGCTTTATGGGAATTTGCTGAATTCTAACCCATTTTAAAAAACAGAACCAAAAAAACATCTTGAACAATAGCTTTGAATCCATCCTTTTCTTAATTCCCATAGTGGCTATGACAACTTTTCAAACAATTGATTTTGGGGTTATCTGCTGTTCTTCTAGTAATTTTTTCCATGCAGTTGGTGGAAAGGTGATTTGGAAATAGCTATGTAGTCCCTGTGCACATAATGAGAGTGAGCACCTCACAGACAAAAGCAAACTTCCAAATGCACTTGCAGACTTATCAGTTATAAGGAAGAATTATAGAGGTGTTAGCTGTTGTAGATTTTCCGGGTTGTATGGCTGTGGTCTTGGCATTGTAGGACCTGACATTTCGCCAGTAGCTGTCACAGCTACTGGCAAAATGTCAGGTCCTACAATGCCAAGACCACGGCCATACAACCTGGAAAATCTACAACAGCTAATGAACTCCAGGTGTGAAAGCCTTCGACAACATAATTATAGGGGTGATTTGGTTTCAAAAAAATGGCCAGGTGTGTGCAAAACATTTGCTTACCTTTTATAGGGTTTTATAGGCCATCACTTTAAAAGAACATGCTGTTTTGAAGTATAAAAATGACTTTGTACAAAATAAAACTTGTACACCAAGCTCCATTATAAAGTTTTGATTTGTGTTTCTGTCTAATATAAAAACAAGTCGGAAACTAACAAAGTGAATTCAACAGTATTGTGGCGAACACAATTGCGTAGTAATTATGTGGAAATTACTTTGTGGCTTATCAACAGTGAGCCACTTTCCTTTGTGTGCAGAACTGTGTTTGTTTATAAGCATGAGGCATAGAAATGACTTGCAGTCATACGGCTAACCTTTAATGATTCTATTAATTTTCTGCTATAATTTTCTTGATTCACATTCGTTTATATGCTCTTGACATAATTGGGAGTTCTTGTAGTTTCGTTGTAGATGTAAAAGCAAAATAATAAAAAAAAAGAATTCGGGCTTGCAGTTGCCCGTCTCTTAATCGAAGCTAATTTGAGGGTACTTGAAAGAGAACATGGATCTCCTTAAGTGATTAAAGAATAGAGTTGATGTCTGAAGCTCATTTATAGAATCATACTGAGGTCAATTCAAATGTTGCAGTGCTCCATAAAATACTTCCCCCTGATAAGGCTGCACTTGTGAATTGTAGTGTTTTGTAAACTGCTTATCATATGAATTTTTCCGTAAAGTGTGTCCACAAACAGCCTCCAGGGGTTGGAACACTGGTGTGGAGGTTCTCCGAATCTCGTATCGTGTGGCAGATGGGTTGCCAACCTGATAGCCCCTTTGTGGAACAGTGCCACATGGAAATATTTGGGGTGGGTCACAGCATTTTATGGGGGGGGCGCAGTGGCTCAGAGGTTAAGACGCTGAGCTGCAGACTGGAAGGTCTGTAGATCAGCAGTTCAAGACTCTAGTGCTGTGTGACAGAGTGAGCTCCCATCTCTGGCTCCAGTTCCGGCCAACCTAGTGGTTCGAAAGCAAGAAATCGCAAGTAGATAAATAGGTACTGCTTCGATGGGAAGGTAACAGCGTTCCGTGCACGTTGGCATTTAGTCATACTGGCCACCTGACCACGGAAACGTATTTGGACAGCGCTGGCTCTTTGGCTTGGAAACAGAGATGAGCACCACCCCCTAGAGTCAGATTCAACTGGCTTTCGAGCAAGGGAAATATTTACCTTTATACAGCATTTGACTGGGTCTATAGACAGAAAAGCAGTCTAGTACAGTCAGATAATATCTAGTACCATTATGCTCAATATTGCATGGTAAGTACAGCCTGCTTTTGAAGTTGCCATGCTCAGTCTGTGTACTGGGCTCCCAGCTTCCCATCTAGAAGTCTAGCCCTGATAGTACCACTACTTTGATAAAGCAATGTGTTGGGAAAAAGTAGATGGGTGAGTTTGACTTATTTTTTCTGTAATCTCCCAGGTAATAATGGCTAACTTACAGAACAGAAGCCCGAAGCCGGGACCTGCGGCACATGAACAAGAGCTGGGGTATTTTTTAGAAACGGGACTTCAGCGGGCTCATGTTTTATACTTCAAAAATGGGTAAGATTTAATCTACCATTCTTCTTGATCTCAATTTTAAAAACCTTCCAGAGAGTGAACTAGACAAGCTGTGGGTTTAGTCACTTAACATTACAAAAGTAACACATAGTCTGGAAACAATAAACCTTTTATGACAGTAGGTTTCCCCTTGCACTGAGTCACTCCAATTGTGTGCAAAATAAATGGCTCGGTGTATTTTGCAGGCATCTGATTGGTTGCAAATATGTTTTAAAGTTTCTCAGTTTTGTGCTTGAGCTTGGGTATTAGAAAAAGCAAAGAACTGTTGACTTTAAATATCTTTTTCCTAATCTCTTTAGTTACCACTTATTTTAACATTGTGCTGCAGGATAAACGTGCATGAAGACCAACAGTATGTATATACATTTTCATTTGTGACTACTCAGTAGACCCCTTTAGACTATGCATGAGAGGTCATTCATAATTTTGTGATAACCTTTTCTAAGAGTAGCCTACTAAAGATAGGGGTAAAAAAAAAAAAAGGATCCAAACACTGTAGAAAATGAAGAAAGGAATTTGAGCCTCTGTTCATTTACAAAGGCTTCAAAACTTGGTGTACTAGATCTGAGATGAGTCTGCTATTTTTCCCCCCTTCAAAAAGTGTGGCTATAATTATCTTTCAGATTTTAAAAAACCTGTATAGAAAGAGTGGAATGTCCTGCTGTGTGTGTAAACGGGTTCGATGTAAACAGTCATAGCTGAGAAAAAGAGCTCCAAGTTTTGAAACTGTTTCAGTTAGGTTAGCATTTAATTGCTCACTTGAGTTCTTACAGGCTTTCATTATTAGTATTCTGAGAAACTACTTGGAATAATGCATGACCTCTGAGTTGTGATGTTGTTCTGCTGCCATCACTTGATTGGAAGAAAAATGGAATGCTAAGATTGCATTTTTCTTAGTGTCCCTCCTGGTGGGGAATGGGCGGAAGGAAAGTGACGTTGCACCTGGTATTGTACTGTATCCTTTTAGTGGGAAATATGGAAGAGAATGAGCTACAGAATGCATGCTCCCAAATTTCACACAGTAGAAATACAGGGATTTCTCATACTTAAGTGGAGAAGAAGCTTACATAACTTAGGGGTTTCATTTGGTGGTTTAATTAGTACTACACCATTTCCATCAGACTTTAGGAAACCTGTAAGAGTTTTGAGGTAATTCCCACAGTAGGTGGTTTCTCCTAGGTATAATGAGTTATTATTTGATTCATGTCCTTATAACAAAGGCCATTTCCAACATCCCTGTGCATGGTGAGCGAACCCAGGTGGATCCCTTGACTTGCTGGGTGGCTTCACATTGGGATGTCATCACAATTAGCCATGAATTTGGGACTTTTCAGCCTTATGCTTTTTATCTTCCTCCCATGAGTAAATATATTAAAGTCAGAACAGCTTGTGGATACGTAAGTAAAAGGGAACTGTCCAGCCTTTCATGCATTTTAGGTTTTGGATTTCCATTGATCTCATTGCACTTAGTCTTCTAGGTGTATCAGTTTTATACAGGGGTCTTTTCGTAGAAAAAGAGCTGCAGGAGCTCATTAGCATAAGGTATGCTAATGAGCTACTAGGCTATTAGCATAATAGCTCATTAGCATATGCCACACCCCCTGACATCACCGGAAGTGATGTCAGAAGGGGAAGCAAAAGGGGGGGAGGCATCTTCAAACGCCTCCCCTTTCCTTCCCCAGCTGGCCTGTGGGGGCGGGGGAGCGAAGAGAGAAGGGGTTGGGCCGCAGAAGGGGGAAAGAGGGAAGGAAAGAGAGAGAGAGTAGAGAGAAGAAAAGAAGGAAGGAAAGAGGGAAAGAAAGAGAAGGAAAGAAGGAAGGAAAGCGGGGATAAGAAGAGAGAAGGGAAGAAGGAGGGAAAGAACGAGAGGAGGAAAGAAGGGAAAGGAGGAAAAAAGAGAAGAGAAGAAGGTGTGAAAGAAAGAAGAGAGAGGGAAAGACGAAAAGGAGAGGAGGAAAGGAGGGAATTAAAGAAAGAGAAGGAAAGGAGGAAAAGAGAGAAAGGAAGAGGAAAGAGAGAAAGAAAAGGAGGGAAAGAAAAGGAAAGGAGGGAAAGATGGCAAAGAGATGGAGGGAGAGAGGGAGGCTCTCCCACCACCCCCATAAAGCCCCCAAAAAAGAGAGAAATAAAAGGAAAGGAGGGAAAGAAAGAGGGCAAAGAGATGGGGAGAGGGAGGAAGCCTCTCCCACCACCCCCACGGATCCCTCACTTACCATGATCAAGGCCTTCCCCAGGCCGCAGCGCTCCGGTAAGGGCCCCAGAAAGTTGCCCCCAGGTCTCCTCAGGCCTCCCACGGGCCACATTGCTCCAGTGTGGGGCCCAGGAAGCCAACGACAGGCCTCCTCAGGCCTCCCATGGTCTGCAGCGCTCCAGTGCAGGCCCTGGGAGGCCAACGACGGGCCTCCTCAGGGCCGCAGCGCTGCAGTTTGGGCCCCGGGAGCCCGACAACGGGCCTCCTCAGGTCTCCCTGGGGCCACAGCGCTGCAGTTTGGGCCCCGGGAGCCCGACAACGGGCCTCCTCAGGTCTCCCTGGGGCCACAGCGCTCCAGTGTGGGCCCCGGGAGCCCGACAACGGGCCTCCTCAGGCCTTGCTGGGGCCGCAGCGCTCCAGCGCAGGCCCCGGGAGGCCAACAGTGAGCCTCCTCGGGCCTCCCTGGGGTCGAAGCACTCCACTGCGGGCCCTGGGAGGCCGGTGACGGGCTGCAGTGTGGGGAGCTGGGGGTGGGGCTTGCTGCCACTGCCATTTGTGCCAGCTCCTGGGCTGCCGGAGCGACACTCCGGCACACTCCAGCTCCAAAAGACCCCTGGTTTTATAGCTTCCACTACTATAATATGAACCCCAAAGGGGGAGGGGGGGGCTTTGAGAAATTAGTGTAACTACACTCTTCCTTGGCAACCAGTTATTTTGATAGAACAAACCTGTTTAGTGACACTTCATCTGACTTTTCTAATGTCCTGATTCTTCCATATCTTCTTTAGGTCGGAATATTTTCATTCTCGTAGTTACTCTGTTGCCTTACCCTTCTGAGTTGTTCTTTACTATTCCTTTTTCCTACCTGAGCAATCTAGCTATAAATTGCAAATGTCAGCTTGAGTGACTTTTTCCCTCTGTTGGGTCAAAGTGTGACTTCTGCATTTGCCTCTGTGTCAAAGGGGCACTATATACATTATACACTATATACATAGAGAAGAATAGTGTACAGTGGTTTAAGTGAATACTTAAAGATGTAGCTTTGTGAACAAGAGGTGCATTTTTCAGGGAGCTGTGATTTGCTGCAGTTTCTTCTTGAATGTACACTTTGTGACCAACCTCTGTTTTCCTCTGTGCCAAATGTGAAAAGACCTGAAATGTATAACATGTAGGATGCTTTCATGAACACGTTTTCTGTCATATTCAGAGGCAGTAAATGTCTGCAACCCAATGCTAAGAGGCAACATCAGAGGACGGTCTCAGCTCTATTTGTTGGCCCTCCAGGGCAGCTGGTTGGCCACTGTGTGAGACAGGATGCTGGACTATAGATTGACCTCTGGGCTCGATCCAGCAGGGCTCTTATTGTCTTGCACTTAGTTTTGCTGTTAGATTTATGAGGTGTGTGCCTAAAAACATATTCTCTGTGTGTGTGTGTGTGTGTGAGTGAGAGAGAGAGAGAGAGAGAGAGAGAGACATGGTTTTCATGTGTTACGAAAGAGCACAGGTGCCAGGGATTGTACAGATTCATAAATGCATGAGATGGTGATATTTTTAAAATGTCAGGACTAAAAGTTCTGTCATGTCCTTCAGAAAACTACAGGTCTGGGAGCTCTGTTGATGGAATCCCAGCTGTTGGCCCTGTTAAGTGTTTGCTATAGACGTGCTCTTTTTCTAGCATTCTGTTCATGTAATTATTGTTCATGTAATTATGGCCCTTGCTCAGTTAATATTGGCATTGGTATTACTGGGTAGCTGCCGAGACCCTTGGGAGGGTCCGCTGCTGATATAGTGACCCACCAGCAGCATTCATCACCCCCTGCAATCTTTAATTGTGTGGCTGGGGCAGGATTGGGCCCCCTTGGGACAACTGGGTCTCCAGTGTGGTATAGTGGTTGAGAGCGGTGGACTCTAATCTGGAGAACTGGTTTTGATTCCCCACTCCTCCGCATGCGGCCTGCTGGGTGACCTTGGGCCAGTCACCCAAGCTTTCTCAGAACTCTCTCTGCTCTACCTGCTTCACAGGGTGCCTGTTGTGGGGAGAGGAAGGGAAGGAGGTTGTAAACCGCTTTGAGACTCCTTAGTAGAGAAAAGCAGGATATAAAAACTTACTCCTCTTCTTCTTTAAGCCTCCCTGAGCAATGGCAGCTAGGAAGAGGAACATCAGCTCCCGCTTTCTTTCTTGCTTCTTCTCTGCATGGAAGCAGCCGCTTCCTCTCATAGCAGCTACTGCTGCCTGGCTTGCTGGGCAAATGACTAGCAATAGTGGCACAAGGCATCGTATAAAAAGTACCGTAAACTTGATGAATGTTAATAGTATTACTGCTCAGAAATTTAAATTTTTTTGGACATGTGAGCTGTGTAGCAGGGCATACTGGGAATCGGAGCTCAGTGCTGCATCTGTGAGCTGGGAAGGATTGTGCCGCTGGTAAAATAGCTATCCAAACAAATTACATTCACTTCCACGTAGTTCTGCCCAAACAGCCACTGGTTCTGCTCTTGTCCTTTTTACCAGCTGTATGCAGAACCTGATCATTAGGCAAGCTGTTCAGAGGTGTCCAAATGAATTCAGATGTGCCCATTGGCATGGCTGTGTCTGCTTCTCTATTCGAATAGAGTCTCACCACCACTTCTTCAGATTTGGAAAGGGGCACAGATTAAAATGAAAAAACAAACAAATCCAACCTCAGTTTATTATTATTTTTTTTTAGTTTAGACTTTTACCACTTAGTGTATCTATGTACCTTCCAGGTCTGCCAGGGGATCTAGCTAATCTTGCAATCCATCCTAGCAG